TGAAATAAAAAAATTTGGGGTGAGTATAACCCCGGCATGTCTGGAAGACACATCAATCAGTAATGCTGCAGTTTGGGCGCCTGGCAAACCCTGAGAACGATTCCGACACCTTAGAAAGGAATCATTCAAGAACGTACACCGTGTTGCAGGCCCCATACTGGGTATGCGCAGGTTTGGAACCCGCACTTGTTTTAAAACACGTCAAAAAAACTAGGAAAGTACAAGGTTTGCAAAAAAGGTTGTTCGAGCAAAAGGGGAATGCCATGAAAAAAGTTAAGGGAAAAATCGGCCTGACGACACTGGGGACGGGAGGGAGGGGGACTGAAAACGAATATAAAATAGCTGGAATAACAAGGGACAAGGACAGGATTTTCCCAGGGGGGGAACAGAAACAGAGGCCACAATTGGAATTTGAAGACACAAATGAGTAGAGAGTTTGTGGGAAGTATTTCTTCGTATGGTTGAAAGGCAGTGGAATAGCCTAGAAAATGACGTAGTGGAGGCAGGAACCCAACACATTTTTAAGACGAGGTTTGAAAAAAGTCATGGAGCGGGGAGAGATAGGGTTGTGAAACCCGGTGAAGAGGCGGGGCCGGAGCTGGGACTCGACCCTGCAACCAAAAATAGGTGAGTACAAATAGGTGGTACACACACACACCCCCCACCACACCACAAAAAACCACACCCCGGCCCTAGTGTCAAAATCGACATGACCTGGGGAAAAATGGTAACTAACGGCAGAAAACAGAGCGCGAGATTTTCAGTCAGAAAAAAAAAGAACAATATAAACAGCTTTGAAGTCAACTCTGCCCTCAATAAAACTAAAGTGGGGGAGTCCCCAAAAATGTTAGAAAATTTGTAAAAAGTGAAAAATGGCTTTAAGGTTTTTCTGAAGCAAAAGAGAAAAATATAGTAAAAGGAAAAAAATTCAGCAGGACACAACACACAACAAAAGGGAAAAAAATTACAAAGCGAGATGATACTTAAAAGATTGGGCCCAGACAATGTCTCTCAGGGGGTGTTTTTAGAGGGGGCCGAAACCCCTGTGTGCCCCATAGAAAAATTTAAAAATATTGTTTGGGCAACTTACAGGGGTGTGGAAGACATCAAATGTTGCCGAGTATTTGAGAACTGATAGGTAGCATTAATTTTAAGGTAGTGTCCCCGAAGCTACTTTAATGTAATGGGGGATTATCAGCAGAGTGGTGGAAACACCTGGGTATTTAAAGGGAAGTGGAGAAAATTTGGTAAGCGAAAGTGCTAGAGCTGAAACCGAGCCCTGCAGTCATAAATGGGCGACCCCCTCCCCCCACAACGTGAGTGTCATAAAAAAGAAGAAAAAATTTTAAAAAAGAATTATTACAATATATGATTTTTTTTTAAGCTTTTAAAAATGTTTTATGTTTCCCTTATAAATTTAAAAAATATTAATTTCGGCAATACTAGACAGGAAATCATGAATTTCTTGAAAATATATTTCAAAAGCACTTAAGAAAAATTTTTTTCCCTCCTTGTGGGCCACCTTTGACTCACCTCCGTTGACTTTTTAACAGCAAAATGCTTTGTACACAAAATTCGTGTCCTTCTTCTGGGGTTTCACGCCCTTTTAACTTTTTTTTTGTCCCCCTTGCTATCTATAATCTGCACTATTCCCCGCCCGCTGCGTGTACGACCCTTGTAGGCTTAGCGTTCTTTTTGATTATAATTTTTAAGAAAATTTTATTTTTTTCGTGGTGCCCCCCACCAAACTCTTCCCCTGATGGTCTTTATTCTCCTTGCTGGTTTTCAATGGAGTTCGGGGAGATGTCTTACGATCTACTTTCTCCCCCTGGATTCCCCAAAACGTCTTCCTCCCACTGCTGGGGAACCCCAAAGCTTTCCTTCTGCTGCCCGTCAGTCACGGGTACCCCCGGTTCACGGGTACCCCTAGTACCCGCCTGCATACGTACCTGCTGGGGCAAGCAATTTATGATATTTATATGGTTCAAAGGGGGGAAAAGGGTTTGCCCCATTGAACTATGTGAAGCATGAGTGATATGGAGGGCTTTTGTTTCAGATCTATTTTCCCGAGTATATTGTACTACTCCCCGAGTCAATGTACCTCCCTTTTAAATACTCCCCTTCACCCCCCTCAATGACTCTCACCTTTTAATGCCATTTTTTACTCCCCTACTTTTCCCCACCGCTCTAAGTCCAGCTTCAACTGTTTCCCCCTCCCCAAACCAACTTGACTGTTTTCCCTTACTGCTATCAAGATTTCTAAGTAAACGCAGTGTCTTTGCCTGCCACCAATGCCCTTTGCTGCGAGTCATTTAAAATAACACGCCCTGCTAAATCATTATTTCTCTTCTACAATGTCAATAGATTTTTTTTCCATTCTCTTCACTTCTTAAATATTTAAAGCCTATGACAGCAACAACACTGCCCATTTACTGTCTTTTTTCCCCTCCACTAAATATTATGCTTAATGTCAGGACAAGGCCACTATAATATGCCTGGCTGAGTAAATGTAAGTCCTGCCCTTACCTTGAATTTACTATACTCTTACATAAAGCAACATGGATGTTTTCCTATGCACGTTTGCCAGTTTTCCTACTAAAAATGTAAGCTGGATACAAATCTCTTGGTATTTCTGAATGAGCATCCCTGATTGCTCCACTCTTCCACGACCTTCCCAATACATTGTTAGACATCTACTCTGGTACCTTCTTCTAAGGTTTCCTCTCATCAATGAACACGAGTTTGAAGACAATTTGTCTCCGCATTACACCAATTATTATATAATCAAGGGGGAAGCGCTGAACCCGTAGGAATATACAGCGCCTGTGGTGGGATGTGGAAGATATTCAGGCTTAATTCAGGGAACTGGAGCACAGATCCAATTCCCTACATCAAGAGCCCCTCACCACCATCAAGGAACCTTCCTTGAGGGGAATCCACCAATTAGAAAAATCCTAAATACACTCATCTTCATAGCTTCATCTACACTCACCTTCACCCACTCATCTAAAACTCTTGTACTCATCTACACTCAGTCATCAAGATTCACTCACTCACCCCGTTCAGTCAC